AACTTAATCCACTCAGTAAATTAGAACTTACATTAATTCTGCAAGTGCTCAGTAAGTGCTGAATAACAAGAAATTAAGGTCCTTGCTATTTTATATACCATTCACAGTTGGCTGATTATGGGACCTTTAACAGCCACTTATGTGCTACAATCAGGACCACTTTCTGCTTTTGCCTTTTTAATTCAGAACCTGTCTTTTAAAGCACCAAGGAGATATGTTTTCAAAACTTTTAGCTTTGATTGTTTTCTTCTTAGTAAAAATCTCTTTAGGTATTTGTGTATCTGGGTGCCACGATTTTGAGCTCCTTAACACCACCTTACAGAGGACATTAAAGATCTTATAGTTGTGTCAAGGAATATTTTCATCTAAGGGAAAACCAAATCTTTTAATTTCAGATGAGCATCTAATATTGTGTCCCCGGTTAAAAGAAATGCCTACAACCTGCCCATAAACAAGACTTAGTAAATAATCTAAAATAAAACCTGTGAGATGTTTGGTATCAGATGGAAGGAGCTAATAATGAGTCAAAAATCTTCTTCATAAATTTTCCCTTTGAGACACAGAGATTAGGTTCCAATTTGACCTGGCTGTATTAACCTTGCTATAATTGTAGTGTATTTGATATTCTATTCCTTGAATGCACTAGTTTTAATAGCAGATTTGGTCACAAGGTTAAAGAATTGCTAGCTAATTACTCCATATAAGTGGAGTAATCTTTCTGGTTCTGCTTGGGGATGCCAGTGGTTGTGTCCAAGTCCTGGGCTTTTATGATGGAAACCTCAAGTCTGACCCCTGCAGGTAGATAAGTGAAATAACACCTCCCACCAGATCCTGATGGTTTTTGTTTGTTTGTTTGGGGTGGGTTTTTGTTTTTGTTTTTTGAGTTCTGAAAATGACAATACTCATACAAAGTACAACATGGATACTGACAACATTGATATATTTACAAGTTGTTCTGGGAACACAGCAAACAGATTAAGAATAATTTAAATTGCATTTACAAATTATTCTGATGTGGTCAGTCATTACTTTTTTTTCTTCTTATCAAGAGAATGCCAGCCGATTCAGATGAACCCGGATACTCAAATCATGTGTATTAAAAATGTCCGGAACTGGCCCTGTCTCTTCTTAATCAAATAAATTACTCTCTGATGAGATATCCTCCCCCAACCCCCTCAGCAATGCAAGGCCTAGGTTTCCATAGCTACCTTGGATGTCTATTTACTACACAAGGGATCAAAGCCAGGAGGCATCCACATGCACAGTTAGCTTTAAAACTTGAAGGAATGTCTGTGGATAACATGCAACTACCAATTAACAGATTTGTTTGAAGCCCATGCGGTCCACAGGCAGACAAACTCAGAACATGAGTCAGAGTGAACATGAAGGAAAAACCAACTCAAACAACTCAAAAAAATCACTTTGGAATGAGCAACAAATATCTTTAAGTTGACAAGTCAGACAATTATAACATTTCCTGAAAGAGAGGTAGTAGGAAAAAAAAAATAAAATTTTGATATCTGTTGACGATGTCAAACTCTCTAAAGCATATGCAGAAACTTAAAACATCTGTTAAAAGGGAACATTCCTCAGATACATATTTAAAATTCCACTTATAGTGTCTTCCATTAGGTGTCATAAAAACAGGCTGATTTCCATGTTGGGATAAATGAGAACAGAAATGTCTTCTGTACTTTTCAAGGCTTCACTTTCAAAAGAAGGAAACAATACTGCATACTTGGGGCAATGTGCTAGTAACAGAACAAGAAGAAAAAGAAAATTGAAAGAGGGGCTCTGTTTTTAAGCCTAGAAGGCCGTTTGGGGGCCTCAGCCTACACAGGTAGTCTTTCTGGGTGGGTGAATTCCAGACTTCCCTCTAACTTGCTGTCGTCTTTAGATTTAACCTTTCTTTGCCTTCACTTCACCATTTGTTCAATGAGGATCAAGTTGCCCTTCATTGTCTCCTGGGGATGTGGTTGAGAATAAATAGATCATGTTTGTAAAGGACTTTCTAATCCTCTGAGGAAAGATTACCACCAAGACTTTCATTATTAAGCCAGATGTCCTTGGGCATTTTAATTCCAATCTAAAGAATGTAAAATGGGCTGACCAAACTGAGTCACAGCTTCCTCGGATCAGCAGCGTCCTAGCTTCACAAAAAATTTAGCAGCTGGGAGACCTAGAGACTAAAAGGAAAACCATTGCAGTTTCTTAGAATATTTTTCTAAAATCATTAGGATGCTAAAAAATACAGAATATGTCTCATGGGGAATTTTGTCTGGAGGATCTATATTCTTTCCCAACTTGAGAATGAAATATTTATTCTTAGTCTGTGGTGAGACAATGAATGTGACTTAACTATTTGGAGAGGATATTTGCAGTTGTGGGAATGCCATAAGCAAACCTGTTGTTTTTGGCTGGGTTTCTATAACAGGTGGCCATGTCTTTCCTTTTGCCTGGGAACGGAGCAAATTCCTTCTCAAAGAGGGTTTCAAAAAGTTTTCCATTTATGATCAAAGTGCAAAGAAGGTTGGCACATAGTTTAAAATTACTTCCTGACAACACAAGTCAGCTTTATGCTTTTTTTATTTTTCTTTTTCTTTCTTTCTTTCTTTCTTTTTTCTTTTCTTTTTTCTTTTTCTTTTTTTTTTTTTTTTTTTTGTGTGTGTTGGGGGAGAGGTGTCATTTAATATGGCCCTTCCCTAAAAGAATTCTATCCTACAAGGTTCTTCTGCTGATAACTTGGCAAAAGCTCAACCCCTCCAGAATTTTACAGCCAAACATGCAGCCTTCTTATTCAGTTGGCCATTTCTGGCTATCCAAAATTTCTGACTAGTTAGTGCTAAGGATCTCCTCTGGGCTGCCACACCACTGTTCTGCATTTGTGCAGCCCTAGGGACAGATCACTTACCAGCAAAAAAGATTGGGTTTCACGGCTGAGCTGATGACACATGGATTGGTTTGATAGTTAACCCTGGAAACACAGCCAGGAGCTGCTAGGCTAAGATGACAAATTGGTTGGTGGGTGTGACTCCTCTGCCCAAATGAAGCAGTAGGCTCCCCCAAGAGAAACAAGAACAAAGCTGGGATTCACCAATGCAGCAATACTACCATCCCATGCTTGGTTTCTTGTATGAACAATGATCCTCTACCCCTCTTGCATCTCCTCCTCCAGTCCCACCCTCTTTTCAAGTACCCAACAGCCAAAAGAACAATGTTGTAGACATATCTAGAGATGTGGGATGAAAAGCTGAGCATTCATTAAATAACTAAGGAGTTACTACATGCCTACTTGTACATTTAAAGCTTCAATGCCGGGCTGCTTTCCAGCTTCACACAAATGCCACAGTTACACATCCCAAGCTCTGGACAGCCTGCCTTAGGCATCATACAGAGGGAGTGCCACCATTCCAGAGGAAATGTGTGGGCACATAGATTCTAAAAATTGAGTTCACACACCACCCAGGACAAGACAGGTGGCTCCAAACAGCATCATATAACTTCTTTGTTCAGGCTTAGGACCTTTGTCAAAAACATTGTGTCCCTATTCTCTCATTTTTATTCCTTTTCTGTAAGCCTTCCTGGTCCCTTTGCCCATCCTATGTGGTTGCTAGAAATTCAAAGAATGAGATTGGTCTCCAAGACTGCAAAACTTAGAGAAAGCCAGCCTCTGCACCAGTCTCCAGTTAGGCAGAGGCAATTTACTGAAAGCACATAGTCTTTTCTGTGTTTCTGCACTCGCTGGAATTTGCCAAGAATGCTCCCCTAAGAGCAAGTTAGGGAACAAAAAAGTTGAGGGTCATTGCTCCTGATCATTCTGGTGGGGACTATGCTTTACCTCCGGAAACTAAAGAAGAGAGACAAAAAGTTGTAAACCCTTTGGCCCAGCCACTAACAGGGAAGGTTCACTTTCCCCTAAAGCCAGCTCTCTGGGGTGGAGCACATCCAACCCAATTGGAAGAAAAAAGGGAAGAGCTTTTCCGGTGGCAAAACAGATGCTCACTTTCCCACCCGGAATTACTCAGCTCTGGCAAAAGTAGCATTCCTCCCTTGTAAATTCTGCCTTTCCCAGTCAATGGAAGACTTTTCTAGTCTTGTCCTCCCCTATGAGCACTGATCTTTGTGTTGAAATATTTACGTAAGATTTTTACAACAGTGAAAGAGTTGTAAATTACTAAACCCTCTTCTAGGCTTTCTAATCCAGGCTTTCCTTTTCTCTTCCTTCTCAACAGCAATGTTATAAAGCTCATAAACCTCTAGCTAGGTTGATAAGGAATATTATCTCCATGCCCTACAGCGACGGAAGAAGCTGCTGGCTTAGAATTCTTTACAGAAAAATACTTAAGCAACCCCCAAACTCTTTCTCCGTTCATTACTTCCAAGACTGTGTTCTCCGGTCAAGGAGCAACACAACTTGTAAAGTGCTGGAACATTTTTGAAAAGTCTGTATTCACCCCCCACCCCACCCCAGCTGGAAGTGAAGCTGCTCATTCCATCCGGACTGGTTTCGCCTTCTCAGCTGCACTCACATACACACTAAAGTGCTCACAATGCGAAAGCAAAATAAGATTAGCGTTCCCGTGTAATTCTTTGTCAAGCTATGCAGTTGTCTTTATTCTAACCTAAAGCATAATAGGGTAGAGGCTAAAAGCCTGAGATGAAGCCAGCACAATACATTCCAGAGGCCGACAAACTGGAACTGATTTGCATATTCTACAAACCTCTTTGAACCTTCTACAAAGACTGTGTGACATGAGCACCCACTCTTAGAAGAAAAACCTGGCTTGGGTATTAAGGACAAGGCAGTGGGGAGATGGCAGGTGATGTGCTTTCTCAGGTAGCCTTAAGAAGAAAACGCAGTCTCCTCTTTCCACCTAATGGATCTGGAAACCCTGCATTTGATCACTCCGCAGGCAATCGGGAGTAACAGGTCACAGGGGTCCCATACCTCCCGCCGTGGCAGCCGCCAGTGCAGCTACAACCACAACCCTGAAGCTTACCTGCCTCATGTTTAGAATTCCATGACCCATCCGGCACGGAGCGAGCTGCGTGGAAGCGCACCAGCAGGCTTCCAAGCGCAGACACCAAAGCCGGCAGAAAAGCCCACAAGACAAAAGCAACTCGGTGGAATCCACAGGCAGTAAAGAGCACGTTTTCCGTCCCCCTCCCTTTTTATTCTTTGATCTGCTTCTATGCACACTCTACCCAAGACAATGTCAAGTTTCTCAACCTTTCCTTTTCCAGCCTATGAAAAGTCGGGCGCAGGCTAGCGAGGACCGCCTGGCTCCTATTTCAAATCAGTTCACAGAGACGTCGTAGGCGGCGGGCTCCGGTCGCGGAGTGTCTCGCCAATCAGGAGTAGGGGGTGGACCTGGGAGCAGGAGAGGCTGCCTCTACCAGGATTAGGGCAGCTTTCAGGAGTCAAATGACTGGAAGCAGCTGGATGCAGAGTCCAAGCTCCCAAAGTAAAGGATGAGTTCTATTCTTGTCTAACAGAACTGCATCTGCTCAAAGCTTAACTAGCTCCGGGCCCTAAATCCTTGCACTTTAAGAGCCCCTTAAAAGCATTAAAGCATTCGAAAGGTGCATAATTATTTCAGCGAGAAAACCTCAGTCTTCAGGATCCAAGGACATTTTGGTAAAAGTGTATCTTGCTCTAGATATTTAATTTTGCAAAAACAGTGGAGGGTAAACCACACTGCTGTACCACTTTAACGGAAACAAGCATTCAAGAAACAAGGTGTTCCCTTCTCATCTCCATGGAAACTCTATTTCCAACCTGTGAAAAGGAAATCTTAATGGGATTGTGCACACAATCTTCACCACTGGCGACTGAAAAGCACAGTATCTGATAAAAAAATATGCACATAAGAACAATAAACACAGACACCTGGTTAAGAAAACTATTTGTAAAATAAGTGTATCTGTCTCTCGAGGTGGTTGACTTAACAATTCTGACCTGCTAAGCTTACAAATACAGACTAGAAAGGTGGAACTAGGTGGCTTCTTGGAAAGTTCAAGCCCAAGTTAAGGAAAATTTTCAAAGTTTTTTTATTTTTCTGAACACCCCAGAAAAAATGTAAACCTTTGCAAGTTCCCATGAATATGATTTCTATGCAAATCTGGCTCTTGGATTTAAAGACAAATGTAAACTGAGTAAAGACTGCTTTTTTTTTTTTTTTGTAGAGCCAGTAATATTTATTTTTCCAACAAATGGCCACAGTGTGAGGATTATCCAAGAAATATTTTCAGTTTTGCAGTATTAGAGAAGAAAATCTTAGCAAATAATGCTTTAATGTCTTCAGGGCTGCTGGAGGTGTGGTTCAATATGTGTGAGCTTGGCTGGGTTCTCTGAGATTTTGGCAGCAAGGCATAGCACCTGGGAGTCCAAAGCTCTGACTCAGCTCCCCACTGAGAAATTTTAGAGTCCCCCTACTCACATCAGCTCCCCTAAATCCATTTATTCATTCTTTATAGCCAGTCACTATGGCCTAGGCCCAAGCTTGCTTACCCTTTTGAAACAGTGATGCCAAACCACCAAGTTACCAAAAACAAATAATAATAATAATAATAAACTCATGTTTTAAATATGTTTGTAATTTTGTGTTGCAACACATTCATAGTTATCCTTGGTCATATGCAACTTTAGGGTCATTGGTTGGGTTGGACAGCAGGTACATCAAGACTTCTAAACTATGAAACCCCTGGCATATGCATACAAATAATTACCTCACCATGGAGCTGGTCAGTGCATTGTCAAATATTTAGTAATATTTTGGCCTCTACCCACTAGAAGCCAATATCTGATCAATAATATCAATATTGTCCCTTAGGGCACAAAACCAGGTTTGGTAAAATTCAATTCTCAGGTTAAGTGTTGGGGACTCTAGTGGGAGATTGTTAAACATGTGACTCGTCAGGTCCCTGATCCCAGAGAATCTGATTAGGTAAGTGTGCCAAGAACATTGAGGATCCACATGTTTCCCACTCCCAATGGACTTTGACTCACTTTAAGAAAGTTGGTATCTACCATGATCCTAGGTATATCTGAGCTCGGGATATAACAAAGCACTCAGGGCGGCTGCTGCTTCCACACACCACTAGAGTTAGACCCCTGATTCCAGTGTTGGCATCACTTTAAATGTAAGTGCAAGCCTCATCAGTTGTGTGAAGGTAAATGTTTAACAATCAGCTCTGAAAAGTAAATAATAAGTAAGTAAATACATACCAAGGCTTATAGTACTCTATCAAAATTCCTATGATTTGAAGATTCTGTACTGTTTTCACATAGTAAGGTAACAAATGAACTTGGAGTTGAAGAGAACTGTCCCCAATCAGAAGGCAGCACATACCAGCTGAGCAAAACTTGGGCCATCTCTGCTCTTTCACTTACTTGCTGTACCCTCATCATATACTCTCTCATTCCCACTATAACAGAAATGTCTGAAGCACAGAATGATGTCTAATTTATAAAATCTCAGCTACTTCCACCACAGGTGCCATGAATGGATATTCATTGAACAAAAAGTGAAATTTTTATGTATAACTTTGCTAAAAAAAACAGGCATACCAGTTATTTCCACATTAAGGAAGGGCAATGAATCTTTTAAGAAATAGGCACAAATACCATAATTTGTTATCCAGCCTATATGTCTACCTATAATCACAGCACCCTCTCCCATCTTCTATATTTCTTATAGATTTATTTCATGTTATGTATATGAGTCTTTTGCCTGTGTGTATGTGTGTTCATATGGTGCCTACAGAGGCTAGAAGATGATTTCAGATGCCAGGAACTCGATGGCTGTAAGTCCCCATGTAGGTGCTGCAAACCAAAACCAGGTCACATGTGCTCTTAACTGCTGGGCAATATCACCATCCTTGCCATATTCCATCTTAGCACTCCCATATGTGAGTTACATTTCAGATTGAAAAAAAAGAGAAATGAGCTTCATATAGAGTACCAACTGTATTGATGTATTCCTGAGACAATACATTTCATCCCTTTACATCTATATACCTACACATCATCTCAGCTATAGAGAAAGGATCACTTAGAAGAATACACATGATAATGTCTGGTGGGTCTATATAAGGGTGACTCCTCAAGTAAGAAAATCAGTTATTGCTGGGGCTTACTCATCATGTATTAGGAAAAAAACTGTTAACAGTTCTGTCATTAACAAATACCTCATATGTGTACCAAGTAGGAGCTAAGCACTTTGACCAGCATTCAACAAGTGTGCACCCTTTTATGTCTGTCCAAATACTAGAAAGTTATCACCACCTTTGACAGGCAGGGTGATTGAGGGAGAGAAGTAAAGCAAGACTCCATCTTTATAAATGGCTGTACCAAGAGTATCAAGAGTACCAAAGTAGAACTCAATTTGTTGACTATTCTGGTTTGAACATGTCTTGTCCTCGAATCCAAATGAACCAATTCTAATATCCAAGATGATATTAGAAGCTTTGAGGAGGCGATCATGTCAGCAGGGTTCTGTCTTCAAGGATGGAATGTGTATCTTTATAGGAAGCCTGAGAAACTCTGTCTACATTTTCTGTGAAGTGAAGAAAGCAATGGGGACCCTCTATGAGGCAAAGAACCGACCTTCACTAGACATTGAGCCTACTAGCACCTTAGCCTCAAATTTCCCAGCCTTCACCACTATGTACAACAAACTTGCATTGTTTATAAAAGACCCAGTTAGGTATTTTGATAGTAGCCTGCACAGTGTTATAAAGTATAGTGTTTCCACAAGTGATTCCAAAAAAACCCTATAGGAAAGCGAGCAGTGGAAATAAAGGCATCTCCTTCAATCGGAAATAAATATAACCTAATTTTTCAAATGGAATCAATAAGCCTATGGAATTGTCTGCTGAGTGAGAAATTTGTCTGCCTATTGAAAAGAGTAAAAGGAATTGAGTAGGACACTTGAAGTACCTAAGAAAAGGGTGTTCTAGTTCCAAGTCTATGGTTAACAGTTTTTCCAAGTGTTAGTTGAAAGAACATTTTAAATCTTCAGAGCTCTTTCTCAAAAGGGCAGCCCCCATGATAATTTCTGTTCTGTTATGTGGGTTTGTTATAAATATATCTCTGAAGCATTTCTCACATAGATTCCAGGCCATACTTGAACAGGTAGACACTGGTACACATCATTAGAGAATAAACTACCTATGTCACTCTCTATGACCTATTAGGTTTAAGCCAACAGAACGAATGTTTGCATGAGTGAAAAATTGTTGAATATCATCCATTTTATATTATATTATATTATATTACATTATATTAGAAAAAGGAGAAGCAATCTGAATCAACAAAGAAAACAAGTCCAAGTATGGAGAGAGAATTGAGAATTTAAAACACTATGCCTTAAGGATAAACCTTCAGGCAAGACAGAACTAACTACTCACTTGTCAGGATTTGAAATAAAAGAAGCATGATGTTTCATTACTTGAAAATAATCCATTAAAATAGAGCACCTTATTATCATCCAGATGTTTTAATATTTAGTGTGTGTGTGTGTGTGTGTGTGTGTGTGTGTGTATCCTGAATGCTAAGATTACAGATGCATGCCACAATCCCAGGCTTTAAGTTTAATTATAGCTTACTACTTAATAAGTCTATGCATTTAAGAGGTAGAAATATCTTGACAGTTTCTGTGCTAATTGATCAAACATGGCTGATTCTTTATTCTCTGCCTTTTAGAAATTTAGTATACCATTTATGCTTAGATTTAGAGAGGTATTTTGTTTTCTTTGTTTTAATCTGTGTCTTGAGGGATTTGCTGGGCTGTGTAACCTGCCTTCAAACATCTGGTATCAAAGGATCCTACTGCCCCAGTCTCCTGATCTCTATAGCTATAGTTGCACTGCATTGTTATCACCTACAAAGGCTTTTTTCCACCTAGTCTTAGCAGCATTTCTGTCCACTATCAATTGAACCCCTTCTCTAATTAAGCATAATCTTACTCTGCTCCCCAAGAGTAATTCTGCCAATTACTAGTTATCTACATTTTACTATGATTTCATAACAGAATTTTAAGTGGAAAATTATTTAAAAGTTACTTAATTTTTATTAAATTTCCTTCCTAAATTCTGAGGTCATTGAGGACTATGACAATTATAACTCACCAGAGAAATAGAATAGATATTCTATAGAGAGAATTGTTTCAGTACTGCATGACTTCAGATACTCACCCATAGGTGAGTTGGCATATGCTAACCCTGTAGCACATTGAGGAAGGATTTTTTTCTTCAGGGAAATCTCACCTTTGCTATTAAGGATTTCAACTGAC